TGTGTTGTGTGCACTGTGCTGTATGCACCTGTGTTGTGTGCACCTGTGTTGTGTACACTGTGTTGTGTGCACCTGTGTTGTGTGCACTGTGTTGTGTGCATTGTGTTGTGTGCACCTGTGTTGTGTGCATTGTGTTGTGTGCACTGTGCTGTATGCACCTGTGTTGTGTGCACCTGTGTTGTGTACACTGTGTTGTGTGCACCTGTGTTGTGTGCACTGTGTTGTGTGCCCTGTGTTGGGTGCACTGTGTTGTGTGCATTGTGTTGTGTGCACCTGTGTTGTGTGCACCTGTGTTGTGTGCACCTGCGTTGTGTGCACTGTGTTGTGTGCACTGTGTTGTATGCACGGTGTGTGCACATTGTGTTGTGTGCTTGTGTTGTGTGCACTGATTTGTGTGCACTGTATGTATGCACCTGTGTTGTGTGCACTTGTGTGCACTGTGTTGTGTGTACCTGTGCTCATGTGCACAGTAGAAGAACATGTAGAGTGAATGAAAACAAACATGCATGAGCTCGGTCTTTCTAATAAGGGTTTTTGACACACAAAAAGTAGCTACAATGTAAAGAGCCAGCAAATAAATTTAAATTAACATAGAACAAAATTCAGTAAGTAAATTCTTTGCCCCAGAATATTTAGAAAGTACTTTTAGAAATCTATGTTTTACTTCACTTAGGGTATCTCTGCCAATTCTGTAATGGGTGGGGTTTCATTTTCCAGAATTTCAGTAGCATGTCTTGCCAAATGTTTTACAATTGCAGACAATTGCCTGTGGCTGATTACCACAGCAATCATCAGTTTGAATTATGTTTTACTTAATGTAGAACTTACTAATTCAGCGATTATTGGATGCCTATCTGCTGTGGGATAAAAAATGCTGCGGAAAAATTGTGGGATAAAAAGTCCTGGGAAATGGCAGGCAGACAAACAAGCTGGCCTGACCACAGAAGAGTTATAACCCCAAGGTGGGGAAAAATGTCCTGTATGTTCAAATTATCAACTCGTTTCTAATAAACCATAAGCACAATCACCTTTGACATAATCATTGTTTTTAAATTTTATGGCAACACTTTCCCCCATTGTTTGCTTTGTTTTGTTTGAGACAAGATCTCTCTATGTAGCCCTGACTGTCCTAGAACTTGCTATGATAGACCAGGCTGGCCTTGAACTCCCAACTTGGGGTCTAGAGGTGCATACCATCATGCCAGACTCATAACAATTTTTAGATTAATTCTTCCACAGGTTGTTCAGTACTCAATGATCTAACACACCTTGGGTGTATCATGCCACTTAAACAAAATAAACACTGGTTTGTTGGAGACTTCTCACTAGGACCATGTTGCACACAGATAGTAAAGAGGGCGTGCCCTTGATATTTGCATTTGGTGTGACCTGATTCTCTAAGCCTGTTATCATGAGGAGCACTGGGGGAATTTTTATTTAAGAAGATTCTTGGAATTCCACCTTGAGAAGAAAAGTGTGGTGATCATCCCTGTTCCGCCTCAGGGCCACACCTCTCTCTGCAGCACATGCAATGGAAGCAGCTCCAGGGAGTGAGTGTACACAAGACATAGGCTGAAGAGAATGAGCACCCTTGATGTTTCTGTATCTGTCTGCCTGTCCCCAAGACAGCCACCTTTCCCCTACGTTCCCCCCAGGATCTCCCCCCAACCCCCATCCATCTATGCTAATGCTTCCTTGAGGAGCCAGCTTAGTGATCTTTCCTATGACCTGAATTCACACTGGTCTCTGCTTTGTTTTACTGCTGATGTTTTTAATTCCTTACTTCAAAAAAAACATGTGCTTCTTGTTTAGTGTTCTGGTAAGAGCTTTATTTGAATCAGGAATGTAAATTAGCATGTTTCTAATAAATTCTACATTGTAGAAAAAAATATAGAGCCCCTCCCACTCAAGAAATTAGAAGTAGAACTGCAGTATGATTTAGCAATTCCACTTCTGGGCTTATAGATAAAAATAAATCAATACTCTAAAGAGACAACTTAACTCTCACGTTCACTGCAGTACTGATCACAACAGCCAAGAAATAACTTGGTGTCCATCACCAGAGGAATGGGTCATAGTGACATGGGGCATGGAGCACTGGATGAACCTGTGAGGCAGACACAGAAATATAAATGTCACTACATTATCTCTTTTGGACTCATTTGATTGGTCTTGGAACGTGTACTCCCTTTTTGCTTACTGAGGTGACATTTTAAGACAGGCTTAGTATTTCCCATTGTACAAAAATGGTCTGACTTGTTTAGACTTTCCACAGCATTGCTTACTATTCTGTGCTCACTGTGCTGTGACCTAATCTTCTGCCTGCTGCTTCCCTTCCCTTAGCTCTTCTCATTGTCTAGCCTTGAGGCTCAGCCTAATGCCAGTGTTTGCATACTGCATCGGTTCTCAATTGTGTATGGTAACCTCTCCCTAGGAAATGTATGTTTGTTCTCTCTTCCTGGGTGCAAACTCTAGGAAGCACCTTGCTCCATTCTGGCCTGGTGGCTTGATTCCCTTGCCTGTTAATCTTTCTGCCCTTCCTGTCAACCCTGAGCACAGTGTCTTCCTGTCACTCCGCATAGGATTAAGAAAATGTCACTGCACTGAAAGCCCTTTCAGCTTCTGAACGCTGTAGCCTTGGCACATAGGGTCTGAGCAGTTTCCAGTGCAGGGCACATCCCAGTTGCTGTCTGCATTCCCTAGTTGTGTTCTGCAGCCAGGTTGGGGGTGATCTCACTTCCTTCAGGCACATTTTGCTAAATTCTTCATGGGATCACTCAGGAGATGGAAGAAGACAATCTCCCAGTGTGCTGTCCAGAGGAATGGGTATTCTCCCTTTCAGATCCTCCCCACAACCCAGCCTTTATAAGGAAATAGCTAGTGTGCAGAACAAGAAAAGAAAACGTAGGCAAACCGTGGAATGAGGTCTCTTAGGCACCTACATCCCAGGTTCTCCATGCTAAAACATGTAATGCAGAAAGTCCAATGGAGAATAGTCCTCCTCCTCCTCCTCCTCCTCCTCCTCCTCCTCCTCCTCCTCCTCTCCCTCCCCCTTCCCCTCCCCCTCCCCTTCCCCCTCCTCCTCCTCCTCTTCCTCCAAGTTCTTCTCTTCCAACTCTTCCTCTTCTTTCTCCTCCCTCTCCTCCAATTTCTACTTCTCCCTCCTCTCCTTCCTCCTCCTCTTCTTCCTCCTCCAACTCTTCCTTCTCCTCCTCCAACTCCTCCTCCTTTCACAGTTTAGAATATACGACGATGTGCTCTTTTAAATTTAGTGGGAGGGAAAACTGCTTTTCTCGGTTTACTGTCTCATGAGTAATTCTCTCTCTCTGCTGCAGGAACTTACACATTTGTTCCGTGGCTTCTCAGCTTTAAAAGAGGAAATGCCTTGGAGGAGAGAGAGAACAAAATAGTGGTGAGGCAAACAGGCTATTTCTTCATCTACAGCCAGGTAGCGTCAGACTTTCCTCCACCCCTGGTCCAACGCTTTCACTGCCCTTCACGTCTGGTGACATCCTGGCTTGTTTCTCAGGTTCTGTACACGGATCCCATCTTTGCCATGGGTCATGTCATCCAGAGGAAGAAAGTGCAGGTTTTTGGGGACGAGCTGAGCCTGGTGACCCTGTTCCGATGCATCCAGAATATGCCCAAAACACTGCCCAACAATTCCTGCTACTCAGCTGGTATGTAGCCATCCTAAGACCTGCTTAGCAAGGTGATGCAGACTATGCTGGGAATCTGATTCCCGAAAAAGGGTTGCTTTGTGATCTTAATGGAAAGACCTTCTGCCACAGACTGTGCTGTTTATTTTGCAATAATTTGTGTTAACTGAGAAAACTGATATCATTACTAATGGCCATACCATGATTATAAAAATTAAGATGTAGATGGGGATGGAGAGGGAGGTCAGTAGTGAAGAGCACTGGCTGTTCTTCCAGAGGACCTTGGCTTCATTTCCAGTACCCACATGGCAGCGCACAACTGTCTGTACCTCTAGCCCCAGGGGACCTGGCACTCTCTCATGGCCTCCTTGGGCCCTGTACATACATAATGCACATAAAGACATGCAGGAAAAATACCAATACACATAAAAAATAATTACATTAAATAAATGTGCTTTTAAAAAAGTTAAGAATGAGTGTCACAGAATTTGACATTGGAACAATTCTTATTTCTCTCCTACTCTTTCTCTGCACATCCATAGGTGATGATAATGATTTTTTACCATGGCCACACTCTTCAATCGCCTTCTATTTCTGCAGTGTCCCTTCTCCATCTAAACATGGCCCCTTCTGCTTTCCTGTCATTTTCCGTGTTAGCCCCACTGAGTTTAATTGGGGTTGCTTCCTGAGCATGGGAGGAAGGCTATTTTCTGGAGTCTGGGAAAATTTTAGTAGTTACAGCACTGGAGAAAACGGTACTCCTCCCAGAAGCCATTAACTATCAATAGTGCTTCATGGAGATAATGGTCTTTATGAGCCATGAAGCAAAGCTGAGGGTCCCAATCTTGCTCTGGACCTGTACAGGTAACCACAGCTGCAGAATGTCCAGGAGAGGACCAAGTCTAATGTAGATGCTCTTCCATTATAAGAACAGCAGCAGGAACAATGTCTACTTGCTGTCAGATGCAAAAACCTGAGAGTCCTCTGAGGTTTCTTTTCCTGTTCAGTTCTCTGGCAGCTTCACCATCTAGCAGTCATGCTTCCTTTCTCTTATAACCTCCTCATCTCTAGAGAATCTGAGCCACAGAAATGACATGGCAGGACAGGACATCATGACATGACATAACATATCACAACACTACACATCACAACACTACATATCACAACACAACACAAGTTCCTCCACCCCTCAGCCCCTCAGCCTCAAGCTATAGCATGCCTGGCCCCACAATATGAACATGTGGTGGGAAAAATAGCTTCTGTTGTTCCTGAGTGCAAACAAATGCATATTGCAGAATGGCTAGGTTAGTTCACATGGTTAAACAGGTAGTCTCAGATACCTGACTAGTTGGAAGCTCAGAATGGAAGAGGCAGTGTCAAGCACAGGGCCACAGAAGCATAAGGGAAGGCACGCTGTATCTGTTCCAGACAGCCCACACTGGAATTCCCAACACTTTCCTCATTTTATTTTAAGTTATCAGCACTGGGTTAAAAAAAAGAAACCAAACTGTATTTCCCTTACACATGTGTCTATCTCTCTGATGCCTTTGACAAATCTATTCAGAACCCAAATAACCTCTCTAGTCTCAGCTACAGTTGCCACAGACATTGGACGTGAAACCCAGGACTGTGAATCTCCCCTACAGTATTTCAAAGGCCATTATACACAGATGCTCAGAGAGAACACAGTTCCACCACAGAGGTCATGGTACACTAGGTCTGCAGCCCCAGTGACTTCCATGGCCTTCATGTTGAAAGTCCCTAATTTTCATAAACGAGTCTGCCTCTGTGCCAGTGCTGACCAGCATTTTGGTATTGTGAAATATTTATCCATGGCAAAGCCTCTCCCCTCCATTGCTCACATTTGGAATAGGATGTCACAGCGACAAAGCTGATACTCCTGACGTTTCCACTCACTGGGTTTTCCCTCAGCTCCCTTCCTCGGGTGGATTCCCACAGACTCCCCTGGTGCTGTTCTTTTTAAAGGATGACTCCTTTGATGTTGAAGATATGTCTTGGTATCAGTAGGTCAGAGCTGTTCGTGAGAACCAGCTCCAAGAAATTTCAGGCTTGCTACTTTAATTTTGAATTTGTTTTTATGACCCCCCCAACACTAATTCTTCCAAACCGAAGTGGTTAGCTTGAGATATTAGGTACCAAGGAACCCTCGTATATAGAGATAAACAATTGTTTGTGATAAGTTGAGTAGGATTCTCGTAGGCAAAAATGTCACAGCTCTTTGCTACAGCCTAGAGGAACGAAAGTGGCCAATAACTCAGTGTTGGGATTTTAAGTAGAAGCCTACAGTACAAGCAGCAGTTCTCAACCCATGGGTCATGACTGCTTTGGGGGTCATATATCAGATACCCTAGATATCCTGCATATCACGTATTTACAATTCATAACAGTAACAGTTACAGTTATGAAGTAGCAGCAAAAACTGTTTTATGGTTGGAGATCACCACAACATGAGGGATTGTATGTATTCAAGGATTTGAGCATTAGGAAGGTTGAGAACCTCTACTACAGTGGTTCACACCCATTTCTAGAGCCTGCAGTGTTTGCCACAGTCCTGGCCGTCACATTACATCATGTTTAGTGTCCAGCCACAAATCCATGCAGCACATGTGCTATGACAACTCTTCTCTAACTACATAAGGTAACTAATCCCTTAATGTGTTGCCAATTTCAAGACACAACTGTACAGCATGTCTGTGGAACATTGCTTGTCTATGTTGGTTACCTGATAGATAGAATGTGGTTCCTGAACAGAACTTTATACTCCTAAGTCATGGGAATACATAATTATAAATTAAATTAGACACAAACTAACATCTAAAGGAATTTGTTACTTTGTTTCTTTTGATCATAAAGATAATTGTGGTCATTTAAGGAAGCCCATAATATATGGAAGGCTGGGAGAAGAAACTCAAAAGCCTGGACTCAAAGAAAATCTGTTAAAAAAAGTGTGGGTTGTCATTAAAGAAGCTTCTCATGTTTAGATATTTATTTTTGGCTTTTTTGAGACAGGATCTCACTGTGTAGCCTGGGCTGAATTTTCATTTCATGTACAGTCCAGGCTGGACTTGAACATTGACAGGTGCCACCGTGCCCAGCCTATTTTTTTTAAAAAACCTTCAAAACTATTTAGAGTTTCAATGCGTATTTTAAAGTATGATCACAGACTGGTGAGATGACTCGCTGAGAGTACCTGCCATACAAGCTTGGCAGCCTAAGTTTGATCACAGAACCTTGTAGAGGGAAGGAAAACCAACTCCAAAAAGTCATCCTCTGACCTTGTCTTAGTTAGGGTTTTACTGCTGTGAACAGACACCATGACCAAGGCAACTCTTATAAGAATAACATTTAATTGAGGCTGGCTTACAGGTTCAGAGGTTCAGTCCATTATCATCAAGGCAGGAGCATAGGAGGAACTAAGAGTTCTATGTCTTCATCTGAAGGCAACTAGGAGAAGACTGGCTCCCACATAGTTAGGAAAAGGGTCTTGCTGCCTACACCCACAATGACATACTTCCTCTAGCAAAGCCACACCTACTCCAAGAAGGCTACACCTCCTAACAGTGCCACTCCTTGGGCCAAGCATATTCAAACCACCAGACTTCCACACATGTGCTTTGACCTGTATCCATACATATCATACACACACATACACACACACACACACACGCACACGCACACACACACACACACACACACGCGCGCACACACACACCACATACTAATAACTAATACAAATAGATCAATAAAAGGAGATTACCATAATTCTGGGCTTCTCTGAGTGACTATATGATATCCTTTCAAAGAACAAAGTTTGATCTACCTGACAGTGACATTTACCATTGGAATCCAGGTCTGTGTACAGCAGACACTCATCTGCTGGAATCTGTCGGTTCTCTTCTTGATGTATGCATTTAATTTTAAAACTAACAGGATTATGAGCAGTCCTTGAGTGAAGTGTGACTGTTGTGTTGATGTGATACAGTGTATCTTCTAATGTTCTCTCTAGTGAACAGCAACTACACAAGAATCTTATTGCCCCCTCTCTCCCAGGCATCGCAAGGCTGGAAGAAGGGGATGAGATTCAGCTTGCAATACCGCGGGAGAATGCCCAGATTTCACGGAATGGAGACGACACCTTCTTTGGTGCCCTAAAACTGCTGTGACCTACTTGCTGGAGTGTGTGACCCTTTCCCTCCTCTTCTCTGTGCCTCCAAGGGAGAAACAGACGACTGGAGATACCAAAAGAGGGGGAAAATCGTCACCAAAAGTTTTCCAGTGAGCTGTTGAATCAGGTCCAAAGCAAGAAATATAATAGACAGCCATGACCCAAAGTGTGTCATGTGCGTTATGAGAAATGGAGACAACACCCACAGAGACAGGACCAGGAAGGGTGTTCTCTCTAGTCCTATGCCAACACGCACTGCAACCTTGCTTTTCACCTTGGAAAACACACAGCAGGGAGATTTCCTTGTTTTCTGATTCATCATGAGAAGACGGTTCACATCTGCAGGTCACTGAAGCATTCACGCAAAGTCTCAGGATTTACCCTCCCTTCTCATGCTAAATACATGCTCCTCTTTTCCAGGTAATATTATGCAAAGGGTTTTTTGTTTGTTTGTTTTTAAATCTAGGAATCTTGAACTGGCTATAGACAAGAATACTTATAAATTCAAGTGTAAAATAAACTTAATTAAAAATGTTTAAGTGTTAGATAAGTGGATTAAAAAAAAAGCTGACTGTTGGGGGAGTTTTCTTGGTTTGGGTCAAGCTGGCAGTTGTATCTGATATCAAAGTATTTTTCACAGAAGGGAAGAATTCACTCATTTTGGGCCATAGGTGTATTTTGTGATAACTTCCAGTTGCTTTATTAAGTAGTACTGTAGATACATCTGACCTGCATAAAAATCACTAACGTGGAGCTGACGTCAGACTCACAAAGCCCTGCTTTGAGGGCATGTTTGTGGCAGGGCAGAGATTTCCACCCTGTCCAGTGTGTGGCTGCTGCTGCCATTTCAGATCAGGTGATAGATTCTGGAAGGAAACATCTGCTCTATTTGCTCCATGACAATTGAGGTGTAAGCAAGCTTCCTAGCATCTGATGTCAAGCTGGGGCACATGAGGATCCTGTCTCAGAAGTGGTAGGTGGGGAAGAGCATTGCCTCAGGAGTGGCTAGTGATCTCCCTAGCATTGGTGCTATGGTTGATTGCTAAATAAAAGCACTGTGCCTTCTGATCATTGCCAAGACCGTTCAGTCCGCAGACATCCACTTTTGATATTTCTCTATATGACTGTAACTTTGAAAAATCAGGTGAAAAGCATTTCAGGTAAAATAACAAGTGCTGGGGCAGTAATTATAAAGTCTGGATATTTTATACATCTTCAAGGGATCTTTTCATGTCTACACATTGTTTTCATTACTACTCAGAGAATAAAGTTCAACAAAAACACTGGATTTGAATAAGAGTGTTTTGGGGAAATAACGCAGCCGTGGTACCTGCGAGGCATAAGAAGACCCATTTTTAGTTTTCTCTGTAACCTGCACACTGATTTCCATACTTTCTAGACTAGTTTGCATTTCCGCCGCCGGCAATAAGAGTTCCCCTTTGCCCACAGCCCCGACGGCACTTGCTGTAACCCGTTGTCTGGATGACAGATTAATTTGACTAGAGTGAAATGGGATCTCTCTCTTTGTGGTTCTGTTTGTATTTCTCTGGTGGCTGGGGATGATGAGTAAGTTTCATGTGTTGATCGGCTGAGCCAGCTTCATCTTTTGAGAAGCAGCTGTTCATTTCATTAACCCATTTATTTATTGGACTGTTTGGTTTATTAGTACTTATGCATTATTTTGTTTGAGTTCTTATATTGTATTCTAAGTCTGGAGCCTTTCACTACTGGGGATCTTGACACATGACGAGTTCTTATACGTTCTGGGTACCAAACCTCTGTCAGATATTTAGCTAGCAGTTTTCTTCCTATTTTGTAGGCTGTTCATTCACTAGACATGCTGATTTCATTGCCATGAAGAAATCTTTTGTGAAATTAAATCCCATTTTCAACTGATGGGCCATTTCCTGAGGAACTGGAGTCATGTTCAGAAAGTGCTTGCCTGTGCTGGCATTTCAAGGTTTCTTCCAATTTTCCTTTGTCAGCTTGAATTTTAGGCCTCAACATAATAAAGGCTGTACTTACTTAACAAACCTACAGCGAACATCAGCTAAATGAAAAAAAAAAAAAACCAAAAAAACAAAAAACTGAAAGCATGTCCACCAAAATCATGGTTAAGAAAAAGTATGCCCACTTTATTCTCACCTATTTAATATTGTACTTGAACCAGGACAGCGAATAAATACAATAATAAATACATAAACTTCAAATTTCTGCAATAATTAATTAACACAAGAAGGATGTCAGAGGTGAAAACTCCCACATGTGACTGACCAGTCATCGTCAAAACACAGAAAGACAATGTATCAATCCACCCACGTGGGATGTGTGCGCTAGAGACAAACCATTTTCAATGGTGGGAGTAGGGAACCTTCTCTTACCCCTTCCTCCTCTCCTCCATTAAAAATATTTTTTTTTTTTGTTTAGAGCCAAAGTTTTCTGTTGTTGTTGTAACGCTAGGTTTTTAAAATTAGATATTCTAATAACAGAGACACTCATTATTTCAATAGCACTAAAGCTTATCATTGCTTGGAAAACTTAATGAAAATGTACAAGTTACTGGACTAATACCCTGCATGCTGTATACGGTAATCAAAAAGACGGCATACCGGTATCTATACCCATGGACGCAGAAAAAAAATTAAACTATAATGCCCAAGGGAAAGAAATGGATTGTCTGGTTTTATGTTAGCAAGACATCTGGAAGTAAAATTTGCAGAAATTTGAAGTTTATGGTTTGGATGTGAGCTGATCTAGCCCCACTCCCACGCTCCTGTGTCTGGATACTTGGTCTCAACTGGTAGTGTTTGGAGAATTTGTGAGAACACTAAGGCAGAGTTTCATTATAGGAAGTGGATCACTTCATCTGGTCCTACACTGATTCTGACCTGAGTATCCTGTGCTGAGATTTGAGGATCTGTAACCACACACTCTAGCTGCCAAGAACTCTTCCACATGTCAGTGATGGACCGTACCCTCTCAAACATAAATCTAAATGTATCCTTGCTCCCTTCCCTAAGTTATAGATAAGTAACCAATAGAATAATATATTGTCCTTAGACACCTTGAGTAAGAAGGGGATCAGGGTAGAAGGAGAGAATAATTGGGGTGTGGGGAGAAAGAGGGTATGATGGGGAGGAAGGAGGGAATGATGGGGAGGAAGGAGGGAATGATGGGAGG